AGACAACAGAACATTGCTAGAGAGCAGGAAAGGAGGTGAAAGGAGACAATTTTAGAGAAGAAAATTTTTCGGTCGCTACCCAGATTCGAACCCGGGACCTTTGAATGAGAGGCCAACACCTTAACCTCTAGGCCACGAGAGCCCCCAGTCAGCTTTCAAAATCAAAGAATAATAACTGGATTAAAGAACAACAATCCTAAATTTTTATCTTTTAAAAAGTATAATATTGTTCTTTAGAAGTAGTTTTACGCCAAATATTACACAACGCACACAAACAGGCACAGACACAAGCACACTCGAAGCGTCTGTACGCTGTGTAATCAAATAAACACTGCTTCCCTTCCTAATTTTGAAACTTTGTCGCAGTCAAATTCACTCGTAAACGTAAACCTCATAAATTAAATGTAAAAAGACGTTCATAATCACCAATGAACAGTATGCCTAACATTCAAAACAGTTTCATTGCCACAGAAACAGCCTGTTCACCCCTTTTGGGCCGCTTCATAAGCAGTCACAAGCTTTGATTAAGTAAGCTTAAAGGGAGGCTGGAAGAGTCTACCAAAAGAGCTGAAGGGAACATGTGTGCAACAGTCAAAATTGTTTCATTGCCAAATATACCCTGTTCACCCCTTTCGGGCCACAGTCATAAGCAGTCACAAGCACTGATTATGTAAGCTAACTATTACACTGGTCGAGTCTACATCTTAAAGGTGAGGGGAACTAACTCCTAATAATCCCTTGACTGCTACGAGTACTTTGTTTTTTTCCTCGACTTTTTACCGTCCTATAATCAGATCGTGGCCTCGATTATGACACCGGCTCCTGGACGTCAAAAGCTAGACAAAAACATCCAAATGTGAAATAAAAAATTGATAATTGTCAAGTTCTACCAACGAGTTTAGACTCACTGGAATTACATGTAGTACTGACATCTCTGCTTCTTTGCTTTGTGTTTGTGTCTTCACATCTGAAGTTAAATTTAGTGTTAGTTTGAATAAATATTTAATGAGACACTTTCCCGATTATTTTGGCGGTTGAACATACAATATGAATTCAGGATTTGTTTTCTTTCACAACTCAGTGTTGCCGCCTCGAGTAAGATTCTTTGTGATATCTCCAGGCTCTATCTGGTCCCGTCTCACTTTGATCCCCCTGTCAAACAAGTCAGCCTTCGTCCCTGATGCACACACACACACAC